ATTTCGCAACTTTCCGCATATTTCGCAACTTCCCGCAGTTTCACCGCATAAAATCACATAAAACCCCGCATGTTTTATCGCATAATCAAGGATTTTTGCCCGCGTTTTTCTGGAGGGTCTAATATATAAACTTAGTGTTAAAACGGCGATATGTTTTTATAGTTATAAAATCCTGTCCCTGTGACAAGAGCCCAGCAGAAGAAACTAAATCTAACCTCTAAGAGGGGAAGCAAAAAGATCCCTGCCACCATTCTGCACAGAGACGTCCGGCGGCTGGTCGTCTTGTTACCTGCTGAAGAACAGAAAGAGTGACTAGGGTTTATTGTTTGCCTCAAAGCAAGCGATCTCCCAGTGTTCCAAAAGAGACAGGAACATCGAGTGGGAGGTGTAAAGTCAAAGAGAGCCTAAGGCTTTAATAAATATAAAATAAAAAACAGATTACAAGTAGTCAAAAAATAATAGATATGGATACATATCAATAATAATATAGCTTGATTTTAATTAGAAAATTAAATCATTAGAGCTACACATTTGTTTCATTGAAATAAAAATCACCAATTAATAGGGATCGACAACAGGTGTAATGATCGCAGGCAGTCCTGCCTCCTCTGGCAAGCTGGGTGTAATCACCCTAATCACAGAGCCCAGTGCTGCATCCTGGAGAAGGATTTAAATAGTTGCTGTGTGCGATCCTGGTAGACTGAAGCGTGTAGACGGGAGGCATTTCTGCAAAGTCAGGACAGGCAGTCGGTTTTTCACCTGCATAAAATGACCCAGTCAACTACTAAATAAAAAGTCTGAAAAGAAAAGCTGTGTCATTGGAGTGGAATCCTGTTCTCAAAGTCCAGTAGATGCCTCAAGTCCCTTTCAAGTGGGGAATCTGCACAAAAACAGAGGAAACTTGAGAAGTAAAGAAGAGTAATATTGCACTTGTGAAACATTTTTTGATATCTAACAAAAAGTTCATTTTGCCTGTGTTGTGAGATTAAGGTCCTGCCCCATATCACACACACACACACACACACACACACACACACACACACACACACACACACACTTTGTTTATGGAAACTCCTGGCAGGATATGAAGCCGAAGCTTTGAAATTATAAGTTTCATTATAATTTATATAAACAAAAGTTTTGCCCCGAACTGATCCATAAACTGTTTGCTTTCCAATTCTTTCAGGTCCCAGATTGTGGAATGATAAAACACTGGAAGAAAAAACCACTGAAACCCCTCAGCACAGCAGTAACTTTGAAATGTCTGCATCTGACTCCATTGAATCCAAGTCCTCTCTGATGGATATTGAAGCTTCTCTGAAGCTCAGTTTCCTGGGTGGACTGGTAGAAGTTGGAGGATCTGCCAAATATCTGAATGATGAGAAGAAATTCAAGAATCAGAGCAGAGTGACCTTTCAGTACAAAGCTACCACCAACTTCAAGCAGTTGTTAATTGATAATGTGACCCTGGACACCGAACAGATGGAGGTTATTGAGAAGGGCTCAGCGACTCATGTAGTCACAGGCATCCTGTATGGGGCAGATGCTTTCTTTGTGTTTGACAGTGAGAAGTTAGAAGCCAGCCAGGTTCAGAAGATAGAGGGAAGCATGCACGCTGTGATAAAGAAGATTCCTTCTTTTGATTTTGAGGGGAAGGTTAAAATCCAGCTGACTGATGAAGAGAAAGCCCTGACTAACAAATTCTCCTGCAAATTCTACGGAGACTTCATTCTCAAAAGCAACCCAGCAACATTTGTAGATGCAGTGCAGACCTATGTAGAACTTCCACAGCTACTGGGAACAAATGGAGAGAATTCCGTCCCAGTGACGGTCTGGCTGATGCCTCTGAAGAGTTTTGATCCCAAAGCTCCTGAGCTGATGACGGGGATCAGCATCGGACTAGTGAAGAAGGCCCAAGATGTTCTGGAAGATTTAAAGGAAATAAGAATGAGATGCAACGATTCTCTGGGAGGCAAAGTGGAAGAGCACTTCCCAAAGATCCAAAAAGACCTAAACACTTTCCTCAAACTGTGTGGTTATTATGAATCCAGCCTCGAACAGACCATGGCCAAGACAATTCCCTCCATCCGAGAAGGAAAGGAAGATGAGAGCTCACTGGAAGAAGTCTTTAAAGACAGGAACAAGTCACCCTTCAGCCATGAAAAACTAACCAAGTGGCTGGATCACAAAGAGAGAGAAATCAACGTCATCAAGTCCTGTGTGGACATCATGAAGGGTTTTAAGATCGTCGCAAACCAGTCTGAGCTGGACAGAGAGGTCCTTGGAAACAAATTGGTTCTGTGCTTTGTTTTCACCTCCATGGAGAGTGCTGACCCCTGCCTTGAAGCGATGGATCAATACGCAAACTCACTCAAATGCGTGAGCACTGAAGAAGAGCCATGGTACTACTCAGACGACGTCTTACAAAAGATGAGAAAAAAAGCCCACCAGTTCATTAAATATTTTGGAGCACTCACGAATCGTTGTTGTTTCCTCATGGCAGCCATTGAAAATAAGAAATTCAAAGGAGCAACCATCTACTACTACGACGGCGGCATTCTGAAGACTGAAGATTTCCCACCCAGTGATGTGAAGACTGGAGACTTAAAAGCACTCAGTGAGGTGAAGAAGCATACCGGAAAGTAGAGATCTGAACTGGTGTAAGTCATTTTTCATGCATTTTAAGTCAAATATGTTCATATATCTTTTCTCTAGAAACCCTCAGAATGACTAATTATATATTTTGTTTTGGTTTCTCCATTAGATGCCTGTGATCTCACACTGCAAGGGAACACTGCAGGCAACTTTCTTGGGATCCATGTAGCTTTCTTTCGGCTGTTAATCATTTTCTAAAGAGACTTTATTTAGATGTTTCTGTTATGATCAGGGTTGTCTTCCTTCTGATGCATGCAACACATTTAGGGTATACATGTGCTGACCTCTAACACCAAATAAATGACCCTATTAACCCATATTAACCTGCAAATTGCAAAAGGTGTTCCACAGGGCTCTATCCTGGGGCCCTTTCTGTTTAATCTTTGTAAAGATGATACCAAGTGACTGTTATATCATTCTCTATGCTGATGACTCTGTTGTGTCCTGTTATGTGAAGGCTGTTACAATTCTTCAGCACTTCCTTACTGATTGTGAAGTTTCTCTCAATAACTACAAGTTAGTTCGTAGGGCAGATACATTGAAAATCGTGCCCTTAATCAGCCAATATATGAATAATGGTAGTCTCATCTCTACTGAGAATGGATCAAATATTGAAAGTCACTTAATAAAAGCATCTTGTTTTTTGATTTGGAAAGCAAAGTAATTTTCTAAATACAATTTGACTTTCTTCTTGAGGAAACTCTTTTCCACACAATCTTCAGTTCAGCATCTTGCTTGATGACTGCAGGCACTGGGAATCGAGCCATAGATGTATCTTTTATTGAATTTGTCACATGGATCGTTTATATTGTGAGTTGAATTTCACAGCGTTTATAACTTTTTTAACCTAATTGTGGGTTTTATTGTCTTTTTCTTTTCTTTTTCTGATGACATGGTGGATGTTGTGCTTCATAAATAAAGTTTGATTCTCAAAGGTTCGTGCTTCTTTTGTTGAAGTAGAATGGTTCAATACAAATGTAAGTGCGTATATTATAAGTTTAGTATATTTTTTAGATTATAAGTAGTATATTTATATATCTTATAGTACACAGTGCTTATTTAACTGTACTTTAATTCAAATGTATAGTTTTATTTTTCCTTAATTTTACTTGCAATATTACGTCACTCAAACTAAATTAATAACAGATCTGCTGTAAGCTAGCTAGCTAAGGTAGCCAGTCATTTCAGATCTACTGATTTCTGGCTTTATCTGTTGTTTTGAACTTTGTATGATGAGTTGTGTTATGGAAATCTTAGACCTAGTCAATACTGTGGAGATATACAATTAGAATGATCAATCAATAAACTGGTGAAAGCAAACAGCATTGTCTTGTTGGTTATTTATTTGAAGCTTGAAGGTACAGGTCTCACAGAGTACAGGATAGTGCGCAATAGTCACAGAATAGCAAAGCTTATATACAAGATAGGGCGGGCAGACAGAGTTTTGTGTAGCTAGGCGGAACGCCTCAGAAATCTGCTTTCACACGGATGTCTCATATCGCTATTAGACACCTGTGTCCTTGAGATGTAGAAAGTATAACGGTTATCAGCATATGGAAGTTCAAACTTAGTGTGAAGAGGAGTAGTTTCAACATATAGTCTGCCAAATCAGCTCTGTGGCCTTGAAGCGCTTGAGAATAATGACCCTCATTGGAGTATGCAGAGAAAACAGCATATATCAGGAAATGGTACAGTAGTGTTAGACAATGCTTTTAGAAGCATTTGGTTTTACCATATAAGGTAACATAAGACATTGCCACTACAATTTGTATTTACAGTCAAATTAAAAACTTGCATAATATTGGAGCCTTGTTTAGATTTCTTAACTAGTACCTTTTACAGGAAGTACAAGATAGGAATAACTGAGACTTAGAGACTTAAAGAAAATAGTAATTCGAGTGAACAAGTAGGCTATAATTTTAACAGTGAATCTTCATGCTGGCCTTTAAGTTAGTTCACAATGCCTAATTTCTGAACCCATCTAACAAACAAGCAGCATAAACATACATGATAGTCTGTTTTTGTTAATCTGTTAATCTGATCTGATTTGGTCTGTCCCGTTCAATCCAACCTGTGGGACCTTAATTCAGACAGACGATGACATTTTTCCCAAAATATTTAAGGGAAAAGTTTAAAGATATACCTCATTGAGGGCAATCGAGGCAGGATCCCTCGCAGGACGCCTCGCAGGACGGAAATGCAAACGATATTCTAAAAAATAATTTAGAAAGCGACTAGGGAAAAAAAATACAGTATGTATACAGTATATATTTATATTTCATCTGCATGAAAATGAACGTTTATTGAGGGGTTTCTAATAATATCGCCTATAGGAATATAGCATAGGCCAATATATAAGGTGAATAGAATAGACCAAGTACATAGCCTTGTGGGACTCCATTATATCTTTGGCTTGTCTAATGTTTCCCTTTATATTTAAGTAACTTGTTAATTACAAAGTGAGACCATACATCTTGGTATTTCGTACATTCAGTTAGTAAGATATACTGTGAGTGGTATTGGTGTAGAAATAATGGTTCTGCATGTTGGTTGATCCTGTAATATAAAAATGTCCAAATCCCTTTTGTTTATGTGACAGGAATAAAAAGAATCAACTTACAATTTTCTTTTCCCAAAAAATATATGTTTTTATTTATTAAAAACGTAACAAATGTAGAAAACATACACAGTTTTGCTCAAAGCAAATTTAGTATACAAAATGAAAAGCATGTTCAAAAAGTCCAAAAAGACAAATACATAATCAATGAATACACATATATATATCTACATAAATAAATAAATAAACAAATAAACAAACAAACAAATAAATAAATACATCAATAAGTTTATGATTAAATAAATAAGTTTAGGATTAAATAAACTGCATGTAACAAAAATAAATTACCACATTTGTGATAGACAGAGATTACTCATAGAGTAAGAGAACAAGCAGGCTCTCATGCAGCTTACATTATTAAAAAAAAAAACTCAATATTTAAATAAATAAAAAGGTAAAAAATAGATAAATAATTAAAGGTAATAAGGTTCGCAAATAAATTAACACATGGTCATTGTGTGACAGGTGTTAGTTGGTGAGAAGAGAAGAAGCCAGCAGGTCTACTCTCACAAGATGGGTTTTCATCTTATTCCTGATCAGCTCCCAGGCCTCAGCACTGTGGTCCTGCACACAGAAGAATATCTTCATTATGAAAGTGTTATAGATAGATAGATAGATAGATAGATAGATAGATAGATAGATAGATAGATAGATAGATAGATAGACAGACAGACTTACCATTTTTTTCAGGACA